ATAAACTCACACAGAACAGAAAGATATGCGAGTTCAACTGTCAGTAAAAAAAAGGGGAGAGGTGAAACGACATATAACTGTGTTCAGTATGTAGTAAGGGCATCATGCTGTGCAAGTTTGCCCATCGATGCTCACCACCTCATACATAATGCTCTCACTTACGTTCTAACAGAAGAAGAACCATCCTCTTCATTCATGTGCATCTTTCTTTCATCAACCACACTCCTACATGTGTTAATCCTTCCTCCTCCTTATTGCCCCTGTCAAATATTTAACTGGGTGAGCGCGTACGTGTCGAGCTCAATAAATATGTTTTACCTGATGTTTATACCTGCGAAATAACTGGACGGCATGTGGGTGATGTGGGAAATTCCACCCCTCCTCATGGTAGTTTTACCTGGAACGCAAACATATGAGTTTAGCAGACTTTACTCCTGTTGTGGAAAAATAAAGTCACAGTTGAAAGCAAAGCCTGTAGAAAAGCAGCAACACAGCATGAACAATATTCATTCCAGCTCTGATACAAAATATGTGCACCTTGTACTTTGGTGTAGATACAGTGTTTCTGCTGTCATGACCTCTTGTGCCACCTTACCGATCAGCTGATCATGCTTCTTTTTGTATCTTTTCATGGATACCCTTGGTACAAGAAAGCTGCTTTAATATGAACATGAAACTGGAAACATTACAATGACCACTCCTTATCCATGTCGTTTGTGTACAGCTTGGCAAATTTTTTACGATTTGATGGAATATTCTGCACCTCACGACTTACGCAACAAACTAATTCTAATATAATTTTGGAGAATATAACAATTTATCTTAAAAAAAGATCTTATTTAAATATTTTTACAGACAAAATCCAATTGTTGACACATGTGCCATAAAGAATGATTCATGTGCTTTTAGTTGTGCAAGAGTAACGAAATCCTGTCAACTATGATGCACTGTTTTGACAACTTCAACAGTCATTTGAGAATTAGTCATACTGAAAAAACCTGTACTGGATCAGTATTTCTACATCCTGGTGCACCTTTTCTTAAGTGAAAATCAGAATAGCTGATTTTTACAGCAGTGTTAGAACGAAGTCACGCAGGCATAATGTACTCTGATGGTAAATGGAAAGGACACCTCTCGCTGTAACTTGTAAGGTTTTACACATTAGGGCATAAAATTTACATGTGTGGTCTTTAGTTGGTCCTAAAATTAGATCAGCATAACCTCAGATAATCAACAAAATGTGACGTTCACTCTGTGTTGTCACTTATTTAACAAAAACTTGGTCAAAATGCAAGAAGCAGCGTGAAAAACTCAGCATGCCCTAACTGCTTTCACAGGAATCAAGACTTAAAATAGCTGCCAGGTGCTGCTAATCAAACGCACTTGATTTATTGATCTTCGTAAAAATCTAAGCATCTCTATAAAACAGAGGTTTTGGCAGTTTGCTGGTATGGAGCCTCCAGGTGTGTGTTAACACAATGTCAAGATGAAAAGACATCAGTGACGATCTTGCAAAGAAAATTCCTGCTCAGTCTGGGAACGGTTACAAGGTCATTTCCAAATAATTTGAAGCCCATCATTCTATAGTGAGAAAGATTATTCAGGGGTGAAAAACATTCTACACGGCTGCCAATCGTCCCAGGACTTGACGTCTGGCTAATTCCACCTGAAATCCAGACAGTGCGGTACTCAGAAACTGTAATAAAACCTGGAGCTACATCTCAGATGCTATAGGCCTCAGTAAGCAAGGTAAGCAAGGAGAAAGTCTCTTCATTCTATAAAAACCAAAAACCTAAAACATGGTTGCAGGGCTCAAGTTCTCAAATTTGCATTTGATGAAACCACATGGCTTCTTGAACAATGTCCGTTGGAGAGATGAGACCAAAGAGATGCTTAGCTATAATCCTCAGCACCACTTTTGTGTGTGGACCTCGTACTTAGTTTTTCACGCACTGCTTCTACACATTGGCTTAGTTCTCTTTTAAATAAACAATGACATGCTATAACAGATCCTTTGTTGTTGCTCATTTCCCATTGTATTTACCTAATCTGAAGACCTTGGTAGGAAATAGATTATTTTTATTATGTCCTGATATATAAAAGTTTAGAATTGACAGAAGGTGGAGTTTCTTTTTTCTTTTTTTTACTATGACTTTATTTAATGTTACTTTGGTTATAGTAGTACTCAAGCAATGCTCCAGCAGCAATGGAACTCTTGAAAGTGGTTTCGGTATGCTGACATATTTAAAAGAAAAAAAAAAAACCCCAACAAAAAAAACTTGCCATAGTTTTGTTTATCTATCTTGCAAAGTTTCTGTGTTTTCATTCCAATCTGTCAGTATGTGTTTCATTTCATTTAATTGCAATGTGCAACTTGCAGAGACCTGAAGTCTTCTTAAACAGGCTCAGTGAAGAGTAAACATTGTGCATGATTTACTATCGTCAAAGTCATTTCTGAGTGCTGAAGCCAGTGTTAATCTACAATAATAAAAAAAATGTTCACGCTTCACTATTTGACTGAAGATAATAAATGCAGTTACAGAGTATGCACTTTAAAGCTTTAACATAATGGAGCCCATATCACGCGTCAAGTTTCTGCAAAGAGGTTTCACACAAACTTTCACACGAAGTGGGCGCATTTCGCAACACACATTTTTCACTTGGTTTTTTTTTTCTGCTCAAGTTAGAAAGAAATGCAAACATATGTAACTGTAGTCACAGTTCACATTTAGAATGTGTGTGATCTTAATTTCTGATTATTTTTTCCCCACATAAAATTATATGTAAGAATATGACTACCCAGACACGGGGTAGAAATGATGAGCAAACATAATAAATATGTCTGTGTAGGTTCTCAGTCATCCATGTCATGGCAGTCTTAAAAATTTGGCTGATAGGATGATGCATATGATCACTAGTAGGTCAACTACCCCCACAGGGTCAACCACCACTAGGGGTAAAATACCTGAGACTCTCCACCTTTTAGAACTGAAGAAGGCCCTTGGAGGAGAGGTGAAACTTCTTTTTTCAAGCTCTTAACACCACAATGAATACAGAAGTATTTGCTGCAATGATAATTATGACACTGCAAATCAATACAAAGAAAATATATATATTTTTTGGTCAGACTGCAAGATATCACCGAGGTGTTTTACTTCCCGGTTGATTTTACAGCTAGCCGCCATTAAGATCTCCATCTGCAAGAGCTTTCAGGAGGTCAATATGCTGCAAAACGTGAGCACTTGTAGGATAAAATGTGAGAGTATGTAGATTTTCTTTTTTACCTTGTAATTTTTTTCACACACGTTTTTTTTAAACAAAAATTGCAATGGCAGTAAATATTACAAAAAGCTTGTCATGCAAATTTTTACTCATTATTCACTTTTTAAACTACTTACAACTTCAACTCTGTGATTAGGACCTCTGTAATCAGTGAATAAAACTGTTCAATTGCGCCCTCTCGAGTCACAAATACACGAATTCACGCGCTTTGACGTTTGTAGCTGTTCAAAAGTATAGTATTCGCGCGATTACTCCACAATGCTGTCGGACCTCTTGGAGTAACTACGCCACACCAGGAGGTGGCGATAACGCACTATAGCTGCCTGCAATTGCTTACAGCAACAAGTTCACGCTGCTAGCCCTCTGACTGGCAGGTGAGATACATTTTTGTTGTTTTGTTGCGGTCATTCATGTTTTTCAATGCTAAATGATTCCAGTACCTTTATTTTAAAGTTCCTGTGATAATAACAACGCGTGTCAAAGCGCTTCCTGTTTAATAGAGCGGAGCGAGCTCGTTTACAGTTAAACACTAAGCTAATCGTTGTGCTAGCTCGTGATGCGTTTGTATGTTATTGCCGTATGAAACTGTCCACTGTGAGATAATTTCACACGTTTATTTTATCTCGCTTCTTCCCCGTGATCCACATGCGTATTTTTTTTAAAGGTATTTCTAAGTGTCAGCCACATAACGTCCCTATTCGGACTTAGCTAACCTGTTACAGAGTTGTGAACGCAGCTGTGTTTTAGCTGATGTTTTGGTCTTCTCTGGTCTTTATGCCTTATCTAAAAATGATACATACAAAACCGGGTGTAATAATGTGGGTACATTAATGCCAAACCCCGGTGAATGAAGGCATTTCAGTCATGGAATAGGGACTGACATATTGACTTGAAGTTACGTGTCCGAAACCACAACACAATAGAGACATTTGAGCCCTTTAAATCAGCGGTCTGGATTTCAGGGATTTCCCTTTAATTTGTATCAAGCAGTCCATTGCATTCGTAGTTCATAACAGTGAACTGCTATTCTCTTCTCGGTGGGGAATTTTAGCAACCATGGACCAGAAAATTCCCTACGACGATTACCAGCTGCCAGTGGTATTCCTGCCTTCTTATGAGAACCCACCTGCATGGATACCTCCACAGGAGGTATGGCAGATATTAATCCAACTAACCTTTGTGCTTAAATCATGTGCTAAACATTGTGTACCTTATTATATAGTGTATATTTTTATTTTATTTTATTTATGTATTCAAATTTAGTTACGATTTATAGGTTGTGCTTTATTTTTTGGCTGCTCTTACAGTGCTGAAAATTGTATTTGCCCCCTTACTGATTTCTGACTTTAGACCTGTTGAATCAAGAAATCACTTAAATAGAATCCATCTGACAAAGAGAATTGGGCCTAACGATCTTAACTAAAAAGCAAAAAGTCATCATCTAAAGAAGCTCAAGAAGAGATGAAAAACAAAATAATTGACATCGATCAGTCTGGAAAGAGGTACAAAGCCATTTTAAGGTTCTGGTACTCCAGTGTACCACGGTGAGAATTATCGACAAATGGGAGAAGGCATGCAACTGTGGTGAACCTTCTGAGGAGGGGCTGACCAAGAGTGCACTGATGGCTCATCCAAGAGGTCACAAAAGAACCCAGAACAACATTTAAAAAACCGCAGGCCTCACTTGGCTCAGTTAAGGTCAAAGGTCATGATTAAACAATAACAAAGGAGAAAACCACTGCAGGCTAAAAAGAACACAAAGGCTTGTTTCACATTTGCCATAAAATATTCTTCATGATCCCCAAGACTTTTGGGGAAATGTTCTATGGGCTAATGAGACAAAAAC